TGTTATACATACCAGGCATGAAAGGTAACCTGCTCAGTATAGGATAACTTGTCAAAAAGAACTATAAGGTAGTTGTCGAAGACAAGATGATGAGATTTCTCGACGCAGGTGGTAGGTTGATTTTGAAGGCTCTAATGTCTCAGAATAAGACCTTCAAGATTGAACTCAATGTGATGGAGCACAAGTGCCTAGCAACTGCAGCCAGCAAAGATGAGTGGTTATGGAATTTTAAAATAGGCCATCTCAACTTCAACGACATCAGAGAGATAAAGAGAATAAATATGGCTCAGGATTACCTAAAATCGACATTCCAAGTGAAGTCTGTGAAGAGTGTGTTCAGTCGAAACAACACAAGAATATCTTCAAAAAGGATGCAGGAAAGAAGTCGAAGGCAATTTTGGAAGTCATATACTTTGATGTATGTGGTATAATCCAGGTGGATTTGATTGCAGGCAACTGATACTTTGTCACGTTCGTAGATGATTACGGCCGAAAGCTGTGGACTTACCTTATCAAGAAGAAAAGTGATGTTATCGAGGTATTTTCTAGATTCAAATCTATGGTCGAAAGACAGAGTGGTCGAAAGCTGAAAATTCTGAGGACTGATGATGGTGGAGAGTATGTATCGAAAGAGTTTGATGCATTATGTGAAAAAGAAGGGATTGTGCATGAGGTGGTGCCACCCTACATTTCACAGAAAAATGGAATTGCAGAAAGAAAGAACAGAACCATCATGAACATGGTGAAAATTATGTTGAATGGAAAGCATCTACCTAAAGAATTATGGGGAGAAGCAGTTTCAACAGCAACATACATATTAAACAGATGTCTGACGAAGAAGCTTGAAGGAATCACACCAGAAGAATGTTGGTCTGGTGTCAAGCCTAGTCTCAATCACTTGAAGGTGTTTAGATCTATAACATATAGACATGTTCCAGATCAGTTGAGAAAGAAGTTTGATGCTAAGTCGAATCAGATGGTTTTGATAGGATATCATTCGACTGGAAGTTACAAGCTGTTCGACCCAGTGAATAAGCAAGTAGTGATCAGTATGGACGTGATCATATATGAGCTTAAAGAATGGGATTGGACTGAGAACATCAAGAAGAATTCAGTGAGAATCTCTTGTGAATAAACAACCACTAAAGTCAAAAGAGAAGTTCGACAGAAAGAAGTCAGAGATGAAGCAGGCCCAAGTAGACCTCGACGAACAAGACACATTCCTGAAAGGTTGCAAGAATGTGTGATTACATCAGATGATATGGTCAATGAAAAGTGTGAGTTGGTACATTATGCTTTCTGCGCAGATGTCGAACCAGTCAATGCAACTGAGGCATTAAAATATTCAAAGTGGGTGAAAGCAATGAATGAGAAGTTAGACTCCATTGAAGTCAATAACACCTGGTCACTTGTCGAATTTCCTCAAGGCAAGAACACAATTGATGTGAAGTGGGTTTACAAGGTGAAGGTGAATCCTAAAGGAAAGGTAACTTAACACAAGGCGAGACTTGTGGCGAAAGGATTTCTACAAAAGGAAGGAATCGACTTTGACAAAGTGTTTGCACCTGTTTCTAAGATCGAAACAATCAAGTTGTTGTTGGTCTAGCAAATATGAACAATTGACACACATGTCAGATGAACATGAAGTGTGCATTCTTTAATGGCACCTTAAACGAAGAAGTTTATGTCGCACAACCAGCTGGGTATGTGAAACGAGGCGAAGAAAGAAAGGTGTATAGACTGCATAAAGCCCTGTATGGACTTAAGCATCTCCAAGAGCTTGGAATAAGAAGATCGACAACTTTCTAAGGGAGAAAAAATTGTGAAGTGTACAACTAAGCATGGAGTGTATGTAAGAAGAAGCAGTAGTGAATTGCTTATACTATGCCTCTATGACGATGACCTGTTGATAACATGAAGCTGCAAGAAGGAGATCGAAGACTTCAAACATAACCTGAGTTAGGAGTTTAAAATGTCAGACTTTGGAGACATCTCATATTTCCTTGGCATTGAATTCTACAAGACTAGTACAGGTTTGATGATGCACCAAAGAAGATATGTAGGCGAAATACTCAAGAGATTTAAGATTGCAACCCAACTTCGACTCCAGCTAAGAATCCAATAATAATGGTCGAAGCAAGCACATCGAAATGAGATTCTATTATCTTCGAGAGCATGTAACAGAAGGGAAGATAAACTTGGAACACTGCAGAACTGAGAATCAGATTGCAGACATCATGACGAAGAGAGTGTCAGTCGAAGTGTTCAAGAAGTTAAGGTATATGATGAATGTGGATAGTTTAGACACAATGAATTAGGTGGTGTGCTAAATATGTAATTCATTGTTTTAGAAAGATTAGATTTGATTTAGAAAGATCATATTTGATTTAGAAAGATTAGATTGGATATTTTTGGGCTTTTATCGTTTGGACTTTAACTTGATATGCAAGTTAACCTAAATCTATAAATATGGAGAAACCCTTATCATTGTAATAATCAAGTTTGATAATCACGGTTTTATAGTTGCAAAGTGATAATAAAATTCCACAATTATGGGCAGAGCGTTACTTTGCAGTTCATACTCATCTTCTTTAAACGTGTTCTTGGTTTTTGTTCATTGTCATTACATAACAATCTTGAGATCAAAATTGAGAAGAATTCACCATAGATTGTGGTTGAATTCCAACATTTTACGTTAAAATATTATCTTGGAGCAAGACAAACACGATAGAAACAATGGGAAGCACCAATTCAACATATTTTTCTATTGAAGCTTTTTTCATTGTGATCATTATATAATGTTTATAACTTTTATAATATACTTTATTCAAGTTATGAGTAGCTAAACCCATAATATGAGTCAATATTCTTATTTAAACTTGTAATATATTCTAAATTGATCCTTAGAATGATTGAGTATTTTATTCGGTTATGATTTATTTTTACATGTTCTTGATGCTTTTTGCTTTGCGGTCAATAGTGAATTATTCTATGGTTAACAATTAGAAAAGAATTTTAATAGGTAACACTTGATTGAAATATTTTTTATTAGTTATTACCTAGGTGTAGGAATATCAACCGAAAACTTGAATCATTTTTTTATAACTGCATGATTAGTTTTGTCTATAATTGATTAATAGACATAGGAATCAATTTAAAATTCAAATGCCTACATCTACAGAATTAATGATTATTAGAAATAAAGTTTAGTTGTTATATACTCCCTCCGTTTTTAATTATATGTTGTTTTGGAAAAAAAAATTGTGCCAAAATATAAGTCGTTTTGTAATTTCTATGTAGAATTAATTTTTTTCTTCCTAAAATACCCCTAATTCATCTCTTTTTTTTATAATTTTCATAATTCAGTGAATCTTATATTCTAATGCAGAGTGACATTATGAATATTGTTTTTCAATTCATTAGTCCAACTTTTTATAGAAAAAGTCTTCCTCTCATAAAACTCATATTAATTTGTGATTTTTTTAAAATTCCCCTCTCTTAAGAATATATTAACTCCCAATTAAAACTCAGAAATATTTCTTCAAGTTTTATATATTGTGCATTTTTTAATCCTTCTTCCTATCATAACAAAAAAATCCTTAAAAAAATTGGTACAGTGATCCAAGAGTATTTCACGTTGAGAAAATTGATAATACAAAAAAAGTACAATGAAATATTTAGAGGGAAATTTGAAAAAAAATTAATGAAGATAAGAATTTGGAGGGAAAAATTTAACCAAAAAAAAATCATAATTTTTTCTCCCAGAGTGCTTTAGGGTATCTTTTGGTGAGTGATGGAAAATTTGGGAGGGAGAAAAATAAGGAATTAGTGTAGGATAGAAAAAGACACGTATAAATTTAATTAATTTAATGTTTTATTCATGGAATATATTGGAATAAATGCAATCTAGATATTCCATCCACAAATCATAATGATTAATCTGATATATTTTGAAACAAGAGATTTTGAGTGTTTTTAAAAAGAATAATATTGGAATACCCTATAATATATTTACAAAATTAGCAAAAGTTAATAACTTCCTTGATATATATAAAAAGTCTAAAACGACTTATAAAAAAACAGAGGGAGTAGTTAATTTAGGATATGAGGTGTTAACCTTAAAAATTAGATATGAGATAGGTTAAATTATAATATAATATAATATCAAAGATTATTAATTAGACCATAGATGACTCACTATTTATAGCATGTGTATTAAATTATAGATAGAGACTATTTTTTAAAATATAAAACAACATCTCACATCTTACAAGTAAGCCAATTTTTTAAAAAATAAATTATATGAAACTCTAGTTCTAATAGTAAATCATTAATTAATTAATTAAATTGTTAGTTAATTTGGGTTCTAAATATTTATTTTTTATATTTCATATTATTACAAAATATTTGTATAAATAAAGTGAAGTTATCAATATATTGTTTTTTCCTTATACCAAAATGTGTTCCTTCTTCAAGGAAATACCCTATATATTATTATTGAAAATTGCTAGTCTCATATACGCAAATGGTGCTTTCCAGATGAAACTTCCTAAATAAATGCCACGCACTTTAGAATAAATTTTTAGGCTTACATATAAAGTAGAAGGAAAAAAAGTGCTTGACAAAGGTATAGATTCTTCTTTAGTGAATAGATTTAAAAGCCATAAGATTTGGAACCCAATTCCATATCCTTTATCAATCTATCGATGCTTCTAGCATTCTAAAGGTGAAAGAAAACTCTGTGACAAAAGAAATATTTAGAACTCATTTTGATCTCAAATAAATTAAGAGCAAATTTTAGTTTTCAAATGCAAATTGCATTTTCACACATTTGCTACAATAGGACACAAGAAATAAATGGCCTATTTTTTTTAACCAATAAGTCATCATACATAGTTCTCCACCCTTCAAACCATAAAAATTCCATACACTCAAAGCTTTGAAACCCTTTACAATCTTGGGTGATCATCAACTTCATTCTTGAAGTAACCATCCATAACTTACAAGATGAGCCCAACCAAACACCATGCCACACCATAGATCAACCAAGCAAACCCTAAAAAAACATAGAGATCAAAACAAATCATTAAATATTAATAGTAAAATACAAAGAAAATTAAAAATTATAGTGATTGAAAATAATTATTAGTGTGTTATTTTCATGTGTTATGTGTCAGTGTTAGACATTAGACCTATTTTTAAGATTTCAGTGCTATTTATATATTGGTGCAATTAAAAAAAAAGGATAATTTTGCTTACCATTTCTAAAACCATGATTATATGATATGAAGAAACAATCTGTAGTGGTGTTAATTCCATTAGGACAGTTGCATAAAAATGAATTATAAGCTTCACTATATCCACAAAATCCATAACTTCTTTCACAAGCTTCACATGAGCTAGGATAATCATTTGTGACACTAAACTTATACTTAAGTGCAATTCCATAGTTCCATTTTTCAGGATCAACTTGTTGATCATTGTAATTATAAAAACCTGTATAAGAACTGCACTGAAGCTTCTGAAGATCCATTTCAAAAGACGGACCGAGATTAACCGGTGCATAAACACAACACGTCGAAATCGGGAGATTAATATTAGTACTAATAGGTCTACAAGAATACATAACATCACAAATTTGTGTGTTTTGATCACATTGAAGCTTAGCATTGCTTCCATCATCATAACTTCTTGATTTGCATATGGATGATGAGTTCATGGAGCAGTCTACTAGAGCGAAAACGGTGCTATCGTCGAAGGTAAACGGCGCGTTCCAATCTAAGCCGAAGCCTTTGCTAGGTAAGGTGCAAGAGCATGTTGACATGGTGGGATCTGAAATGTGTATGATTTGGTTTGTGTAGTCGATTGAGGTGATGGGGTAGGAGCCTGTGTGTGTTGTGAAAGTGAGTTTTTGTTGGTTGCATGTTATGTGTGGTTGGAAGCGAGGGTCGCCGCAGCCGGGGCCGCCGCCGAAAGGGTACCGGAGAGGCTGTTTGCCGCAGTTTCTTTGGCACATTTGAGATTGGATTAGAGAAGGAAGTAGGAAAAGGAAAATGGTGAGAAGAGGAAGTGAAGAGTGCATTGTGATAGAGAGAAGATAACAAGTTTTGGTGCTATAGTGTTACTAATACTATATATATTGAAGTGTTGAAATAAAATAGAAGCAATAAGGAACTTTCATTTTTCTTTTTTGTTATTTAGACCATGCATGTTGATTAAACTCTATTATTATTATTATTCATTATTAATATAGAAAAGAAAGTTTTATTAAGAGAAGAATATATACCAACTTCTTGGGTGCATAAAACAAGGGTTGCCTATTTGTTTGTGCTTTATGAAGGGCTATTGGTAAGTGCAGGCACAATTGCTTATAACAAGTAAAAGATATGAGTAGAATAATACTTGTAATGATAACATTTATACCTTTTTAATCTACTTTTTCTCTAATCCCTATGATTTTCTTTGTTATTATTATCTTATCATCATCCACTACAAAAATATATACATTGTGCCTTAAGTTATTTTGGTTAAAGTTGGTGGAAGGAGGAATATTTAAAACACATAACTTTGAAAAGAGAATATATTCATATCTATTTTTTTTATTAAAGTTACACTTTTTGCACTTTATTTACTACAGAATATTGTTATACATTTCAATTCTACCCAGAATATTATTTGAAAATTTGTAGTTATTGTGTTATTTCTTTAATAGTTTGCCATTAATTTAAAAAAGGTAAATAATTTTTGTAAGAAAAGTAAGCACGGAGCACCAGTGGTCTAGTGGTAGAATAGTACCCTGCCACGGTACAGACCCGGGTTCGATTCCCGGCTGGTGCATATTTAATTTTTATTTAGCTCAATTTTCCACTTTCCAACTCGTTCTTAATAACATTGAATTGCAAAACTTAGTGTTTTCTGTGTGAGATTCAGAACTAGCTATGGTTCTAAACAATGTTATTTTTTTGAAAAGGTATTAATAAAAATAAGTATTGTTAGAATTGTCATTTTCCATGGTTATTTGATTTTTTTTATTCAAGATTTTCATTTAAGTGATTATTCAAAAAAATCAAATATAACGATTTAGAACAAGCAAATACTTTTAAATAAAAAACATCAGAATAATTCATTAAAAGTTAAATATTTTAATGATTATTTGTTGCAAAGTATTTTATTATATTTAAAATTTAATTAATATACATTGTCATAATAAAAGTTTTTATACAATCAATTAATTATAATTATTAGATTTTTAACTTTTATTTTAATTATCGCTAAAATATCACAAGCTAACTATAGATTGTCAATATAAAACTTTTTATAACATTTAATTTCATTTATTTAACATTATTTCAAAATATTTGCATTTTGATAAATTTTTTAATAATAAAGATATCTAAACTATTTTTTCCCTTAATAAGTGAATATTATTAACCTATTTTTTATGAAAATATGTATGTATTGAAAAGATCTAAAGAAATTATTTAATATTATAATAAAAGAACGTAAATATGCAAGAAATATAAGTACAATTTTTTTTTTATCTAAAAGCTTAGTAGGTAAACTAATTTTAATAAAGTTAACTAAAAGTTAAAATACTTTTATCTTAGGTAGATAAAAACATTTTTTTAAAAAAAACTAGTAGAATACGTGCGCGTCCGCACGAGTAAATTCATTCATATTTTAGATTATTCGATAAAATTTTATTGTTATTGATATATAATTGTTATTATAAAATCGTCAATAACTAAAAATATTTAAAAATAAATATGTAGCAAATCACCAATATGATAAATTCAATATGTCTAATAACTATAAATATTTATAAATATTTTGTTGATTAAAATAAAAACGGTTTTGTGGTGATAATGAGTTTCTTATTGAAAATAATGAGTTTCAATAATAAATTGATAAACCCTATTCTCGGAAGTATGTTCCAGATCTGTCGCATGTGATTTTGATGAATAATGTTTATGTAAGGGATAACCGTACAGTTGAGGCTCTTCCTGTAAGGATTGAAGACCATGAGGTGAAGCACTTGAGAGGCAAGGAGATTTCTCTCGTGAAGGTAGCGTGGGGAGGCGCTTCCATTAAAAATATGACTTGAGAGTTGGAAAGTAAGATGCGAGAGTCATATCCAGAGTTTATTGCATCAGGTAATTTTCAGTGAGACTCGAACCAATGATCAATAGCATGACAAGTTCTTATGGGCAAGGCATTAACCATTGGGGTGGAGATACATCCATTGTATCAAGCCACCACATTAAGTGTTATACCTAACAATCAATAGATAATAAACTCTCCATAGTATATTACAAAGTACAAAGTGATGAGATAACTAGAAATAACTTAAAGAAGATATATTAATCTTTAATGAAATTGTTAATGCCAAGAAAGAAGAAAAAAAAAAAAGACATGCTTAAGGAGTAACTAAGATTTGTATGGTTGTAGATGTATCGCATCAATGTGGTTGTACTTTAAAGAAGTGTTATTTGTTGATGTTCAGCAGTCCTAGCAGAAGATTGAAAGTGACTTTTGTTGCAAGTAGGCATATCTTCATGTACTTAAAAAAGAGGATATGTTTTTTTTTTTTTTGGTTAGAAAGTAATAAGCAAGGACAACCTCAAGAGGGAGAAATGCCACATACTCTATCTTTGGTTAGATAATTATAAAAAAGAATAACGTTCAAAAAGTTGTTTTGGTTGTGACAATGTTACTATGTAAAAAGTGCATTTACAACACAAACTAATTAATATGCCATTTGCTAATTTGAAGGTATAAACTTTAGTTCACTTATATAAAACATATTTTATTCACTTTCACTAAAAGTTAAAAATATCTAACCATTTTCAGCATATACATTACAATACAAGTCACTGACATATGTATTGTTATTAACTATAATGAAGTCACTAAAATGATAAGCTAACATTTAGGCACACATTATACTTATGCATCATTTAAACTTTACCATTTTGATTTCAGCCTTAGTTTTTTTTACCAACTATAATAAATGGTTTAATTGATTACACATCATATGACACGTACATTAATATCACATAAATCAATGACTTGGTTTTAAAAAATGACTATTTACCTAAGTCAATACAATTATAGCCTATATATGACATGCCAGCATAACTTTAGATGAGTTTATAGCCTATGTGGTCTTCCATAGCAGCAATGTAGCTTAGCTTATGAGTAGAAGCCATATATTAATATAATAAAATTGACGGTAGTACTTTCTTAGAATTTTACAAGGTACTACTATCTTTTTGGTTAAGAATATTGAAAATATATATTCCATAATGCCAAACTTTTAAAAATTTCAAAATTATTGACGGAAGTTTACCGCCCATTCATTGAACAGTAGTGTGTAAATTTATAAGATACTGCCTATTAGGAGGGCAGCCGAGTCCAACTCATAAATTTTTTCTTTTACTTTTATTTATTTATTTTTGTTTTAATATTATTAATATATATAATAATATATTAATAATATAAATATAAATAAATATTAATATTATTAATATTAATATATATTAATATTATTAATATTAATAAATATTAATATATATTAATATTAATATTTATTAATATTTGTATTAATAATATTATTAATATTAATATTATTAAGACATAATGTTAATATTATTATTAATATTTTAATATATATTAATATTTATTTATATTATCAATAATGTTAATATTAATATAATCAATTAATGTATAATATTAAATTATATTTTTTAATACATAATTTATATTAATTGATATTATTAACTAATATTATTTAATACATGATGATTAATAAAAACACTATGATTACTTGTTCCCACATTGGGACACCGGGTTCGATTGTGCCCCGTTTGACGACACATTGAACATTTTCTCTCAAACTTATCAAAGTTATCCATTTCCGTTTGTAATACGTGTGCTCACTGGGCGACCTTTCTTGTTCCTTCGCATTCTTGGGTTATGGCAAATTTGATCTCCTTCATAAACGGGCCAATATTCATCGTACGGAAACACTGGAAAGCTTATATTGTAAACCCCAAACAGGTTTGTAACCCTATAAACGTCGGACAAAAGAGCGTAAGCGTTGTGGCGCACATTTGAACAGCGATAACATGTGAGTAAGAGCAAGGGACACGATATGCTTGAAACTTTCCGCAATCACACCATCCGTTCAAGAGGTCGACCTTATAATGTCCTATAGGCTTCCCCTCACCATGGTCCATTGTCTCCTTCACACTGAAAACATTGTTAGCGTAGTCAAAAATTATGACTTGATGTGTGCTGGATTTTGTTGTTTCTTCTTTCATCACCTTGAGGCAGTTGTCTGTAAATGTTCTGCCATAATTCAACACAGCACTCCACTTTGAACCCCGTTCAGCAAATAAAGATCTCAGTCTATAATATGTTGCCCTTATCAATGCTGTAATGGGCAAATTATGTGTGCCTTTAAAGACAACATTCATTGACTCGACAAGGTTGGTAGTCATGTGACCCCAACGTCGACCCCCGTCAAATGCCCTTGTCCATTTTTCGGCTGGAATATTGTTAATCCACCTTAAAGCATCTGCATTTGTCATGTCAATCTCTGACCGATAGTAATGAAATGTTGGTTGATTTAAAGCGTACCCTAAATAATTAAAATATCAATCAACAAAGGACAAAAAAATAATATATGTTATTGACAAAATTTAATGAATATTATGAAATATAGTTACCCATGTTAAGTTATGGAAGTGCGGCGGCGATACCAACTGTCGACGATTTCAATGATGATTTGGTCGCTGAATTCATGAACCCTAACAATGATGCAGGAGACACAGCCCCAAAACGTTAAGGTTATTCGTAGAAGGTCCACCAGAAATGTATAAGCTCCTGTCTGTGGAAGCCACCAACGCTTACGTCGACCGGGTCGAAATTAATTAAGGGTGAATAGGAATTTTTAGTTCATTTATTTTAATGTACTTTTTTATTTCAAGAATAAATAAATATTTATTTTAGTTTATTTATTGTATTTTATTTTATAATTATTATTATATATTTCAATGTAGTAATTTATTTTAATTAGTA